GGTCTCGTCCTGCAAGGATTCACAGCTGCTGAAACCTGACAGAGAGTCACTAACAGTGGATTCGTTTTTCTTAGTTTTGTGACTGATCACATTTTTGCAAATCGTAAATAGTATAAAAAATAAAATAACCTGAAAAAAATTAAGCCTTGGAATTTTATTTATTTTTTTGTTTTTTCTAACCTCAAATTAACGTCAGTTAGCTCTGGTGGCTTCGTGGTGAGAAGCCACACTGCAGGACCAAAGGCAAGCAGATGGAATCCCCAGCAGCTTCTCTGCAGAAGAAAAGGCTATCTTCTCCTGAGCGATTTAGGGCCTCTGAAAACCTGTGGGAGGGTCAGCTACGAGTGGATTCTAACTCGACAGCACCCAACAACAACAAAGTCAAGTTAAAAGCTTTCTCAACGCACATGAAGTATGATGTAACACGCGGATTACACTGCCATTACGAGTCACATTATGACTCCTGTCTTCCTGAAAAATAAAGCAACTCCACTAGCTGTTCCCTTGCACATTTTTGATAGATGCTGATAAACTCTCTTTTCCAGCAAATTTCCACTCAAGAACTTCTCAAGGCCCAACCTAGGGAAAGCCCATTTAAAATTTCCACACTGCTGGTCTGCTGGTAGTAATCGGCCTCTGAGGCTCTTCTAAGGAAATATAAATGCATTCCTAAGCACACTTACTGTCCTTTAGTATTTTTTAAATTTTAATCAAGAAAGCCAAGAGGGACAAGGAATTTGCAAGGGTGTTTTCTGCTCTCCCCCACTCCCCCACTGAAGAAGGAGTTGTCTGAAAAGATCCATATTTTACAGTGGTTTGGGGAGGGTAGCTTCAGGAAAAAGTTAACATTTTGTTAGTCACTAAAAAATATGAGTTAACTGGGGAGATGATGTGGAAGTTTAATAAGCCACACAATTCTATAGCGAGCACCTCTCTCTGAAGGGAGTTCTGATGGCCTAGTGGATAGGGAGTTGCACTGACAATCTACACGCACATAGTTCAAATCCATCAGATGCTCCAT